CTGTTCCATCTCTGCATTGCTATGACCATCCTCCTTTTAATTTCTATTAAACAGTCTCCATTGTTGTTTATTATAGAGCCTAGATATTCAAAGTTTGTGACATTTTCAATTTCTTCAAACACCAGTACAAATTTAAGTAACAGATGAGTAACTGTTCCTTGTTGTCTGGAGTGTGTGTAATATTGCATATTTTACTGTGTTTCTTATGTTGACTAGGATAGGAGACTATCTAGTCTGGGGGCTTAATTAAAGTAGTGAGGAAGTCAGGCTAAGTTGCACCTAGGAATATTTTATGTTCTGTAGTGCTATAATTTGCGTCGCCCCACCCCTGAAGTAGATTGGATGTTCATTAGAGCTGCGGGATTCCGCCTAGACCATTGCGAGCCAAACATCTCAACATTTTATAGCTACTTCAAAGTGCTAATTGGTTTATCAGGGAAAAACCCTTACCAAGGAACGTGACATCAGCAGTATGTGACCCCAAAAAGGAAACTCATCATAGGCAAGATTAAATGCTTGAAGAAGGCTTTGGGCTTCACTGGAAACAACAAGGTTAGAAATGAGGCATTATAAATATTTCAAGTACTGATGTGAGAGGATGTCACAATATTTTATAATTGCTACAATAAATTCAAAATCATTTCTCATTGTTTGTATTGTTATTAAAAAGAATAAATCATAGTCACATCACCATGTTCACTGAAAAGCCAGAGAGTAAAATCATAATGGCCAATAATAAAATTTTAGATTTGTAGTCAGAGTATGTAAAATATTTTTACGACTATTCACGTGAGAATAGTTTAATATTTTCCTAAATTAATTATGGACCTCAAATTTTGAAGCTAGAAATTCAGAATATATATGATTCTGCCAGATCAAAACAACATACCATATTTACACGTGTATAGGCTGCAGTAATTTAACTGAATATCATTGAAAAATTAATAAGGTTCATCTTATATTCAAGGTATTAGGTCTACATGTCACTTGTATTAATGAACGAATGTTTCATCTGCATTTCCAGTTGCTCCTATGTGTGTCTTCTGTAAATTCAGAACACGTCTTATTGGTACTACTGTGTTGGTTGTGGCCACTTGACAAAAATCTGAGAATTTTTTTTTCCTAAAATTATTATCTCAGAAACAGGGTAAATATGGTAACTTAATTATCAATGCCACAGACAAATATGGAATAAATCAGAAATTAGAAGCAAGGCTTCTAGAAAATCAATAATGAAATAGGTAAACCCAATCAGTGAAGTGTGTATGTTTCTGCGGCTTTTTCCTATACAGTAAAAACAATGAGAAATATAAAACACATGAGAGGAACAAATATTAGAGGACACAAAATTAACAATATGAGATATCCATAAAATAGAGTACTGATTGTTGACAATAAACGAGATATGCAGAATAAGTGCATGCAGACTAGGCTTAGAATTAAATTTCAAGAAAATAAGAAAGATAAAATACCACACTGGAATAAACCAGACCACAAGGCTTCTGGACAATTAATATTGCGTGAGTCCCAGCCATCTAGTTTAGCCCCTCTCCATGCAGCGCGTAGCGGTGTGGGAGATACTTTTGGCAGTGGCGATAGTGGCAGGAAACCAGAATTTAAGTCGCAGGAAGTCCGCAATTTACATGTGATTTAAACACTTTTCATTTCCGACTGTTTGTGTCTTTGATGGGTCCAAAGATTCGCTGTAAGACTGTTTTTGAAAACCTGTAATAAGGCTTTATCTCTTTTATTTGTGCTCCAAGTTTCACAGCCATATAAAATTACTGGTCTTATCAACATTTTATATATTTTGATCTTGGTGTTGTGAGACAGATACTTTGACTTTAGCAGATGTTGAAGAGCATAATATACTTTATTTCAAGATTGTATTATAGATTGTATTTCTTCTCTAAGCATGTTGGAGCAGTTGAATTTTGCACCAAAGTACTTATATGTTTTTGTTTGTTTGATTTTCATATTATCGACTTGTGAGTGGCCAGAGTTTATATCCTTTCCCTGTCTAGTATTTATTATGTATTATGTCTTATCTTGACTGATAACCAGTTCCATTTTCTGAGCTGATTTTTTAAAGAGAGTCAGTGTTTCAACAGTCTCACGTTCATTTTCTTCAACAATATCAATGTCATCTGCATTTCCAAGTATTCTTGTAGATTCTCCTACAGTACACTTGTTTCAATTTCCTTATAATTTTCTTCAGGGCCAGGTTGAAAAGAAGTGGGGACAGAGCATCACCCTGCTTTAAACCAGATATTATTTGAAAAGGGTATGATTTTCTGCCTTTATATATTACTATATTACAAGTGTTTTTCATACATAGTTTGGTCACGGTAATTAACTTCATAGCACTCAATAAACTGTTTCTATGTACATTATCTTACGCTTTTTTAAAATACACAAAAACATTATGTACATCTCTTCTATATTCCCAATTTCGCTCTGCTGTTTGCCGTAAAATAAATATCTGATCTATAGTTGATCTGTTCTGTAGGAAAAACACTTGGTAATCTCCCAATATGTCTTCAATGTACGGTTTTAGCCTGTTTAGCAGTACCGGAGATAGTATCTTATAGCTTGTAGATAATAGTGATATCCCTCTATAATTTTCACACTTTTACTTGTCTCCTTTCTTAAAAATTAGTATTAATAAAGACATTTTCCATTTATGGGGTAATTTCTCCATGTTCCAAATTAGTTTAATTAATTAATATATCTTAATATGTAATGCATGACCACCTTCGTTTATAAGTTCAGCAGCAATTCCATCAGCACCAGTTGCTTTATTGTTTTTAAGCCGTCCTATGACATACAGTACTTCTTCAAAATCAGGCTCTTCAGTATTTGGTTCACACGTTAATATCTCTTCCTGTGGATAATTATTAAGTGGAGTTTCACAATTTAACAAATTAGCAGTGTTACTTTTATCTGTTACATTTTTCCTCATTATTATTTATCATGTTCCCATTATGATCTTTTAAACTATAGTTCTTTAAAAATACTTTCTGGATTCATTGTTCTGATGGTTAGCTTTCATATCCATGACAATGTTGTTCATGTATTCTTGCTTTTGGTGGCTGACTACTTTTGTAGCTTCTTTCCATTCTGTTCTATATTTTTCTTCATTTAGAATATTACTAGTATCATTTAGCAAAATCTGCCTGGCATGTTTGTTTTCTACTGTTTGCTTCTTCACATTTTGTATAGAACCATTTGTTCTTTCTGGTAATGGTGAACACACCAAAACATTCTTCTGCAGTGGTTTGAATTATATTCCTAATACCCATCCAGATTGGTCAACGTCTTTCTCTTTCAGAATTTGTAAAATTTAAATTTTTTGATTTTATTTGTCTATTTTAGCAATATAATCTGTTTGTTTACTAATATTTTATTACTAATGCAAAGATTTGTTGTAGCAGTACTTCATTATTATTCCCCAACAATACCTTTGATGTATAATATGTGTATGTTGCGCGGCAGTTCTTCTTCTTCTTCGTGTTCACCAGCTGTACACTCTGGTGGAAAGTTTTGGTTGTTCGTCCACTTCTGAACTGCCTTCCTGCTTCAGAACCTGAGTGTTGCGTATTCACTTGAATGCAGACTGTTGGTTCCTTGCCTCTCAGGCTGTTGTACTCTGACTTCAAAGGAAGCTCCCCAATTAGTCGACAATTACGACATGCTTTTGGGTAGGCAGAGGGTCTATTCTTGTTTTCCCCACGATGGGGCCCTGGAACCCACACGGGGAGCGCGGCAGTTGAATTAGTATGGTCTGTTTTAACGTGTTACACTTGTGAAATTAAAGAAATTGCATTACCACCCCCTCGGGCCTCTGATGGTAAACCCCCTGGGACTCAAAGATTTAAAGGTGGCTGGCACATCTTATGTGGATTATACCTAGGCTGTGATACAGGTGCCTTTCAGGAAAACATATAAGATTTTAATAAACCCCTAATCAGTCACCTTTTATGACATGCTCGTTTGGTGGGGTGTGATGCGGTGGGCAGTGGGTCTATTCTTGTTTCTCCTAAAATAGAACCCCAGAGCTAGTAAGGGAAAAAGGAAACAAACTATTCATACTAGATTATATTATTCAAATCTATTTATGCCGTAAGATTGTATATTTCATAAATCTAACAATAAAATGTAATGTACTAGTGCTACAAAATAAATACAGTACTGCAGAAAATATGTGCGTGTGTGTGTGTGTGCATGCGTGTGTGTGTGTGTGCATGCGTGTGTGTGTGAATAAAACACCAGATTGCAGTATTAAAATTACCCACACAAATAAAATTGATTGCAGTATAAAAATTATTCATAGATATACATTATTTACATATAGTGAGATGTACATGATTAAAAAAAAACTTTCAATCTTTATATTTGTTTAGGAGATCAATATTTACAATAAAATCACAGTTAAAATGTATTTACAATGCTGCAAACTAACAAAAGGGGGGTTGCCATAGCGTTGGTGGCCAGTTTGCCATAGCGTTGGTGGTCAGACACCCGCCTGAGGATCAGAAGGTCTTGGGTCAATCCAGCCCTAAGTAGGTGCATTCCGGGGAATTAAAGGTGGCCGGCATGGTGCTAACCATATCACCCACCAAGTGCTGATCAGTCTTTAAAAATTGTGGTCTAGCCCTATATTCCCAATATGACTAAAGGTGGGGGAAAGAAACCTTTTAGACTAAAAAAAACAATAATCTTAAAATAATAATAACTTATAACAGAAAACTATGCATACAGTTTTTTTTAACTGACACAACTGCTTTTTCTCTAGGAGTCTTCTCCTGCATCCATTGTGATGTGGTTTACAGTCAGGTTGCAATATGTAACCCTTTTAGCCCAACACATTCGATTTTAGCAAACCCTTAATTCCTTGCTCTTTATGATATACATGTTACAGGTCAGTGGGTCTACAAAAAACAAAGCTAGGGTCCCAGATCCCTCGCAGGACTTCATGAAATTAAATGAAGACATTTTTCCTATATATGTAAGACTAACTCTGACAACATTTGGGGGTAATTTTGCTCAAGGTTAAGGGATGGGAGTGTGACAGCTTTATCTCCTTCCTTTAGTGTAATTAACTGCAGAGATGTATTACCTCCTAATGAGCAGTGACGAGAATTCTCTAAAGTCAGTTGCGGGAAAATGTTTTCTGTAGCAGCATCCACCATACAAGGATCATTTCCCAGAAGCATACCTTTTGATTTACTTTTTGGAATTAGCTTCCTAACTCTGTGGATGAAATAGATAAAACAGTTCTCTATTTAAGCTTCAGAATAATAGGGCCTCTAAGTGACATTTCAATCAAAATGCAATGCCCCTTCAACAAAATGTCCTGATCTCTAAATGAAATTTTGAATTTAGAATATTGTTTTGTGCTATTTGAGTTACACACTAATCAGCACACTGAGTGATTTGCTGTGTGCTTTTGGAGAACCGCAAAGGATCAGAAGATTGCGAGGTTGAATCTCGTCGGGGTCGCCAGTGTGCTTTTGGAGAATGGCAAGGAAAGTTCGTCTCTAGTCAGCCGTGGTTGTCTGCTGAAATAATATTAAGGTCCAATGGATAGGAGAATTCGTCCTATTCAGCGGTACAGCCTGCCCAGAGTTGTGGGACGCTGTAGGCCTGTGGAGCTGTAGTGGTCAGGGAGAGGTCGCTACAAGTTGAGAGAAAGCGAGTGAGGACTAAATGGACTACATGTGAATGTCAATTGGGATCAATGTCTACGTCTCTGCAGTTTTGTTGATATAAGGGCTTATGTATACCCTCTTGTGTTCTGTCAATTAAATATGATATGTGACGGAACTATTGTCGTCGAGTCCTGCTTCGAGAGTGAGGGAGCTAAAGTCACATCTTTAGACACTTGGAAGTGTTCTGATTAGTGTGTAACTCAGATAGCACACAACAAATATATAATAATAACCTTATAATGATAAAGTGGTATATTTTGCTCTATTCAACAATTTAAAATTTACAATATAAGAATGACAAATGTATCAATGCAGACATATACAGAATTAAATAAGTGAAATACAAATGATTAAAGTGGAATTATCAGGTAGCTAGATAATTGGCTTTTCGGCTGAATACTGCATGTTGATGAGGTGGACATTAAACAGTTAAGGTCAATAAAACATTACAAATAAGACACAAAAACAAACACAGCAAATGCTGTAATAAATTTTTTTAAATGTGTCTTTACGGTAGTGTGCAACACGCCTGGTAACTCCAGAATGTGTTTTCCCAAACTTAATTTTTGTCTATATATTTTAAGTTGTCTGCTCTGTTGATGCAAACGCTTCGTAATGCCGGGATGCCGGGAAAAACCACACAACAGCCAGGGGCTGTTGGGATTGGTTCTGCAACGTCCTGTAAAGGATACACAACTAACATATATTTTAAGTTATAGAGAAAAATATGCTCATGTGCTGTAACCTCCTACTTCTAGGTCGACCAAGAACAAAGCCATTTAAATTCCTTGGATTGTGGTTGATGTTTAACACCTAGGATCTTGTCCAGGGGTCAGGTGTCACATAATTATCCTGAGGCCAAACACTTAGAAGCAGGTAACACAGGATTAAAGTGATCTCCCCTTGAGATTACCTCACTTGAGTGTGCGTCAGATGGCTAGTGTTGACACTTGTCTGTAAAACTGAGGTGTCAGAAATATTACATAATAGGCCGGGCTGAGCCTGTCTGAACATACCTTAGCGCTTTGTAAGATTGACAGCAAAAGTGTGGCAGAGGCAATCACGAGCATCTTCACATGTGTGGGATTTTCTCTACATATACTGTCTGACAACGGGTCACAGTTCAGAGGAAAATTAATGGAAGAGGTATTCTAAATCATCACATCTGTATTAGTTCATACTGACCCCAAGCGAATGGCCAGAATGAGCGTTTCAGGGGGACTTGGTATCATTCCTGAGAAGACTGACACAAGAAAAGCCAGAGAAGTGGATCGAATATGTGTCTGCAGCACTGTTTGCCTGCAGGGAAGTACCCAATGCCTCTGCTGGATTTCCACCATCGACCTTGGTGTTTGGAAGACCTATTTCTGGACCCCTGGCCATTCTGAGGAAAACCTGGACTGATGAAAAGTCAGATGATTCTTTGAAGACCACATCATAATATGTGCAGGAACTCAAAGAAAAGTTGAAGCTAGGATGGGACCTGGCTAAAGAGTATTTGATTTGTGTACATAAGAAGTATGATACACACTTAAACCGAACGACAAAGGAACAATGTCTCGAGGTTGGAGATAAGGTTTTGTTACTTCTACCAATGGGGAGATCCAAGATAGATTTTGGGCCACTTATACTGTGTTGAAGATTTTGAGAATTCATTACAGAACCAGTGTTAGAGTCCAAAGTTTACCACATTAACCTTCTCCGGAAATACAGCGAGAGAAAGGCAAGTGCAGATCAGGCTCTCTTAACACTTTCTGTAGCTGACCAGGTAGAGGAAGGAGTTGCCATGGTGGTGGAGTGTCCTTTTAACCTTAGGGAGACATATAAAGAGGCAGAATTAAACCCAACTCTCTCTTTCTCCCAAAATTGTTTCATTGTCCAGGAGCGGCAAGAAACACAGTTGCAGGTAAAAGAGGAACGGAGTAAATCTCCGAACTTCCAGAAGGACTTAAAGGCGGAGAATATTGCATTCAAGCCAGAGTACCTTCTGGAAATCAGAATGTAGGAGCAGATTTCTTGAGCCGTCACCCCTTGTCTTATTATTCACAGACTGAAGGTGGTGAACTGGCTGATAGTGGTGAGTCTATAGACGCTTAGGCATGTGTGGCTGCTGTTTATTCGCGTGGCATGCTCTTCTTTAAGGGGAGTACTGTCACAAAACAGCCCACACCCCTTTTCATTGTAGACTGGTCTAGATCTTGTCACCTCAATGCAGATGAGGCTAAGTTTAAAAGTGGACTAGCCTCTATAGCTAATTAGTCAATCTTTTGTAATTAGGTGTCTAAATGATGAGTTAAGTATTCCAAATTTTCCTAATCATCTTGGGAACATATTTTCAAATTCAACCTTATAGGTGAGAGATTCATTATTAATAATGAAGCCAAAATTCCAGTGGCCGAATTAACACTTCGACATGAGTGAATCTCCTTCAATCCACTGTCAGCGAAACCAGCCTGCCTGGATCTGCCTGTGAAGATCAACAAATCTGTCTCATCTTACTTGTCACTGATAAGTGCGCATACCTCAGCATTGACAGCAGTAGGATTCTGCTTCCAACAACACCTATCAAGCGTCACGACACAGGAGAATATGAGATTGGGCGCTTTAGATGCTGGTATCCATTTCTCACCTGGATGGATATCCGTTAGCCTGCAGACTTGCATGATGTCATCCTCTGCCTTACCCAGCCATGATTTTCACCTTTTAAGTCTATTGCCCTTTTTCCTGAAGAGCACGTGGTGCAAAGGGTGCTTCAGATCTGAGCTTATCTTGAGGTATGCACAAGCCCTCCAATCTTGATCCTGTAGTTCATGGTAGGGAGGTCAAGAAGGTACCTCATTGCCACACAAGAGATCTCCAATGCACACCAGAAAAATACTTGTTGCTTCGTTTTGCACCTTCCCAAGTCTTTCAGTCTGAGTATGGCTGACAGTGAGGCTGGCTAGAGCATATTCGACAGGAAAAGGTACAAGTCCCTGAAACAGAAGCAGGAGCAGCCTCTGCTCAGTATTAGTGGCGGCCACGACCCTCATTTCTGACAGGCCTTTGCGTGCTTTTGATATAACATGGTCAACATGTTCTTTGAAGGACAGGCTATGATCAAACCTCACTCTGAGGTACGTCATCAGATTTGTTCTCGTTAACATTTCTTTGGTGCTTTCCACTGCTGGTAAGTCTGCCTTCACTATATGCGTGTTTAATGAGAACCCCGTTACTGAGGCCTTCAAAGGGTTGACAGGAGCATTAGAATCTACACACGGTACTCTGTTGTACACATCCTCCAAGTCTAGTGCTGCTCCACATGTCTCTTCTCTCATCTGAAATACAGGAATGAGGCAGGAATGTGTTCTCCCCACTCTTTTTTTTCCCCTATATACATAGAAAAAATATCAAAATAAACCAGCTTTAAAGCAGTAGACTCAAAAAACCTAGAAACCGAGGAACTTTACTTTCCATAGGAACAGTGCCTGCTCTACAATGAGGGGAGTAGACTGCAAGAACATCTGAACGGGCGAAGTTCAACATGCTGAAGATATGAAAATAAATACTACTAAAACTAATGTAATGCAGGTCAGCATAATTCCTAGTGCTACATATCTGGTTGAATGATACTTGTCTGAAGCAAGTTAAATCATTTAAATATCAAAGAATAGACTGGGAAATAGATACAAGATGTCAACAAGCCAGTGTACTTTCATACCAAGTGACACTTTATTAAGACATCCAACCAAAAGTATGAGCACCAAAAAGCAAATTATTTAAACAGCATATTCATACCAACATTGTGCTACCAGTGCCAGACTTAGATATTATTTTTAAAAAAGCTAACCTACATAAAACAAACACATGTGAAAAGGTCAAAGGGTAGAGAAAAGGCAAAGAAAGACACGCTGGTCCTCCAGGTTGGGGGATGAAGCCTGGGGCCGACACACCCACCTTCGTAAAACTTAATTTCGTTACGAAGCAGATATCTAAGCCTTGATTTTAGATGGATTTAAATGGACAAGGAAACTGGAACGTTAAAAGACTTTTGAGATTTGGAACATGGAATATATGAACCATTTAAAGAGCTGGAGCAGCTGAAGAACTGACCCAGGAATTATCAGATTACAGAAAGGATATAATGGTGATTAAAGAAATAAGGTAAACAACGTTAGCCAAAAATTATGACAAAAAGATGTATTTATTCCTGGAAAGAATGTTAAATGTGTTAGATTAGTGTAGTTGTTCAGTTAAAGATAAATTTGCGATAGGCCCGGCCCGGAGGATTCAGGGGTTCAAACAGAAATGCCCAAGATGAAAATAGGAGATGTTTTAGAAATAAGGAAAATAGAGGCCAGCGGAAGGTTAAGACCAGGGTAGGGATAATTAATAAATGTGGATGAGGCAATAAAGAAGAACAAGTGATAGAATCAATGGAGAAATATAATTTTAAAGTATTAGGCTTATTAACAGTGAGAATGAAAGGACAAGGAATTAAAAAAAACTACATAAAAATTACGTTTTAATAAAATAGTGAGTGGTGGAAATACAATGTGCAAAGCATGGAGTAGGAAAGAGTTATAAGCTTGAAATTACAAGTAGGAAATAATTCAGAATTTTGTATTTTTCATTTATATGCTCCGTGCGATGGAAATTACAGCGAGGAGGATTTAGATCAATTCTTTGAGGACCTGGATGATGAAATCTGTAAGACAGACAGAAATGAGAAGCTGATCGTGATGAATGATTTTAATGGTAAGATAGGATAAGACAGAAGAACATTTGCAAGATACCTAGGCAATTATGGAGACAACAGCATTAAAAATGAAAATGGTGAAAGACTGTTGGATATATGTGCACAAATGACCTTGTTATTACCAACACTTTCTTTCAACATAGAGCTTTACAAGTTTTTACATGGAATAAATGGCACGATCCAGATACTACGAGTCAGATTGATTACATCTTGACGAGAAAAAGAGACTTTCATGAAGTTGCAGATTCTAGAGTTATACCAAACTTGGGCTCTACTGGCAAATTTGGCCGGTAAGCTGGACTGCTTCGGCCGGCTTAGCGGGGCTTCGTGGGAGTTATGTCCCTTGGCCAAACTCAAAACAACTCAAAACAAGTCGTGGAAAAAGTCACGAATCAAATGGCATACTTACCTATTATCATCCGGGTGCGTGTAGGGTTGCGTAGGGTGTCTATCATCGTCCTACGGTTGCGTGTAGGGCTGCTTACTGCGTGTAGGGTTGGTTGTTTGCGTAAGATAGATGAGGGGTAGGGTTAGGGTTAGCGTTTAGGGGTTAGGGTTTAGGGTTGGGGTTTAGGGTTAGGGTTTAGGGTTAGGGTTTAGGGTTAGGTGTAGCGTTAGATGTGACAATTGTGACGCCGTAGTTCCCTACAATCGCGCACAGTCGCATGCACGCGCAAACAGTCGACGGACGGTGGATGCTACTGACACGGACAATTCGCCGCCACCGATTGGGGCACCAGCCGCCACGCGCTATTGCCGTCATATTTGGCACACTTCCAGTGGCGCCACTCCCACAAGCATCAGATTGTCGGCCAGTATTTCCACCTCCTACGTGAATATTTTCACATCATCTAACCCTAACCCTACCCCTACCCCTAACCCTAACCCTACCCCCTAACCCTCCCCCTAACCCTACCCCTAACCCACACCCCTAACCCTACTGCTAACCAAAACCCTACGCAACCCTACACGCAACTGTATGATGATGATGATAGACACCCTAAGCATCCCTACACGCAACCGTATGATGATGATAGACACCTTACGCAGCCCTACGCGCAACCGTATGATGATAGGTAACCCTAGACGCCACCCTTCGCAGACCTACACGCACCCGGATGATGATAGGTAAGTATGTCATTTGATTCGTGACTTTTTCCGCGACTTGTTTTGAGTTTGGCGAAGGGACGCAAAGGGACATAACTCCCACGAAGCCCCGCTAAGCCGGCCGAAGCAGTCCAGCTTACCGGCCAAATTTGCCAGTAGAGCCCAAACTTGAGTTTAGATACAGATCATAGGATGGTGATACTTGACAGAAAAGTCAAGATAAGTTATCAAACAAGAAAGAAATGTAATAAAAATGACAAAATAAAATGGAAAGAACTAGAGTGTGAGGAAAATAGGCGAGCATTTCAGCAAAAAATTACAGGAAAATTATGAACAGCTTCCAAAAAACACACTTGGGGTAAATACGGAATGGGTGAATTTCAGAGACACCACTGTGAAAATAGCATAAGAAATATGTAGAACTAAAAGGAAAGGTAACATAGAGAGTAATCTCTCAATGTGGTGGTCTGAAGAAATAAGAAGAATTATAAGCAATGAAAAGAAAGCCTATGGCATTTGGCTGAGGAGCAGAACAGAAGAGGATTACATAATTTACAGGATAGTTAGAAGAGAAGTAAACAGAACTATCAGACAAGCAAAAAGAGATTCATAGGAAAAGTTTGGAAGCAAGCTGGCTGAAGAAGAAAGAACAGCAGTGAAAAATTACTACCAGAAAAAATCAAAAGCACGAGAAACAGGAATGAAGAATACAATCCAAAAAAAATTATAAATGATGAAGATGGCCAACCTCTAATAGAACCTAACAAAATCTTAGCAATGTGTAGTAATTGCTTTGAATCATTACAAAAAAGATGTGATCAGACAGACTGTAGGAACAATTCCATGTAGCAAATTAGTTGAGAAACGGAAGATCAAATAGCTTGGTCATTTAGTCAGATTGCAGCCAGATAAACCACTAATGCAGACACCACACATGACAAGATCTGAAGTGAAATCAAGAGGCCACCCCAGGAGAAGATGGACTGATGATACTAAAAAGCTTCTACATTGACATGGAATGACAAAAGCCATTGCTGCTCATCAAGCAATGGACTGCAAACTGTTATTTCCCACAACACTTAACGGCAGAGGTGGAAACTGATGATGATGATTTTTTTTTCTACTGATATAATTAAATGCAAAATATATTGTTGCATATTTTGTGTCATGGTCTGCAATTCAATTAATTTTCTCAACATTTTTTAGCATTAAACAATCACAGAATCTTCTTCTTCTTTTTGTTTGTCCAAGTGATGTAACTGTGTTGTGCCTGTTTACAACAAAGCTGCACTTTTTGACTGACATATCTGACTTTGCTAAGCATCTGTTGACCGGGTTAAGTTTTCGGATAGTTTCGTGGAACACAGCATAGCCTTATGTGTGTGGTGTTCTCTCTGTGCCTCTATCTACAGGTGTTGTCACTAGAGAACCAATCCAAGGAAACTGTGTGTAGACTGATTGGCCCTCAAGGGACAGCAGGGGCTGATCATGGACATTTCCCACCGCCCAAGGAGGTTTGCATAAATGCGGAGCTGACTCAAGCCGCTTTGATCCTTGGCTAACCTAAGGAATCGTCATGTCCTACACATGACTGCTTACACTCACAACCCTGTACTCAGCTTTCCACTTGTCATGGGCTGCGCTTGCCAGATAGAGATCAGCAGCAGATCAGGTACTTCAACAACGATACAAATAGGTAAATTTTTCTTCAGCACGTTAGATACTTTTCATGTTATTTTATGTGGACACTACAGTATGGAAAAGCATGCATCAGGCATGGCTTTCCATATTTGTTCCAGGCACTTTGGTGAGTGGGGCCACTGGTAATGGACTTTTGAACCAGCCAAAAGCGACTTCTGACCATTAGACTTTTAGGACATTGCTGTTATACCACTGTACATCTTTCTGATGGGCATTTGAGATAATCATTTAACGGACAGTAGCAGATTGTAGTGGTGTACCTCAATGCGGTGGCAATGATGCTGAGGGTCGACAAATAATGTACGACGACATAACTCTACCACAAGATACCGCCCACAGGAGATGTTGCTAGTCTAAGCTTTGCGAAAATCTTATGGTCTAGGGCTAAGTCTCAGTAGTTCAGTTGTTCTTTCACTCAACAGACATTTTAACCGAGGATTGTCATAGAGTAGTATACTTGGCTAGTGGGCTTTACTTATGTTAGAAACAAATTTTGATGGGCATTTTCCCCATGCATTAAGGGTGGGCTGATGAAAGCTCAGAGGATTTCCGGGCACGACAACTTTGCTCACCACAAACTCTGAGATCCTCTGCTAGCACGGTTTATGCTCCTTTGAGCCACTACCCCTGGTGTACAACAGGGACATGTGGCAGAAGTCTTGCATGAGGATCTGTAAAACCACCAGAGGGCAAGCTTGTGCGCGAGGTCAGGTACAGATGAACTCCTAATGCCCATCACAATGGCTTTAACTTCCCTCATGTCTGTGACCAAAACAAAAACCAAAGAATAACCTAAGCAAGTAGTTTTGACCTATCAGTGGAAAAACAAGAGAAGATAGGACAACTGCACATGTGTATATTACACCTTTGAATACTATATTATTGTATTTTGCTTTCATTAATAAGTTTTCTTCTTTTTAAATCTTCTAAAATATTTGGAACTCATTTATACAATCTAAAAAGCTTTAGGGTTCAAAAAAAAATTGTGAAAAGATTTGAATAAAAGAAGTCTACAAAACAATAATATGTAAATTGTTTTGTTACTTACTTGAGGGATCTGCACTTGTCAGAGCTGGTCATTTGTTTCCTTTCTCCAATACAATCAAATAGTTTAAATAACAGATCTGTGTTGGTCACTATAACTTTTCTCTCTGGTTCATCAAACCTGTTTGTTATATCTTTCCCATCTGGAGGTGTGACTGGGCGCGAATCTGAAATTAACACAAATAATCATCAAGAACTCTGTATGTGGTCAATTTCTTTATTATTCTTCTGCTTGCTATTCCCATGTTAGCATAGGCTCTCAACATTCTCATGTCTAGATCTCCTATCCTTTCTTTTATATTTTCTCCACATTAGTCATCTATTTCTCTTCTCTATGCGTTATCACCAGAGGTCTTCTTATATTTACTTAGTTGTGTGTACTTTTTAGTTAATCTGTTAATATTTTTTGTCAACATATCTTGAACTGTTATGTTTCTAACAACATCCAGTTTGGATCATCTCATGATTCACAGAAATGTATACAGTTCTCACAATAAGCTCAACTTTGGTGAACCTGACACAGTGTTTTAGTTTTTCTGTTCTACAAAGCACCAATAAATGACTGAATTTAGTAGTAATTGTCTTAGTGAGTTTCTATTTATTTTATGATAGCTGAGACACATCTATTGTTGCAGTGAACTAAAATAGTTGATGAATGTACAGTATTGCAGCATTTCACAAGATTTCATAAGTTTTTCATTATTCAGACTTGTATTTTAGGCCTCACTTTTAAACTCATTGGTTAATGCATAGATGCTGCAACGTTATTACACCCTTAGATGTTTTTCACCAAGGAATGGCTTGTAAGTGTGCATATGTGTGTGTGGGTTGGGGGGGGGGGATGTTGTGCATACCCACAAGCATGGCGTAAGGCCAGGAGATGCAGACACTGCCATTGATCTTGCACTGGCCTTGCAGATCCTAGAATTAAGAGTTCCTATCAAGTGTAACAGGTAATTATTTACTGTGTTCATGCTGCCTCTAAACTGGGTATGACCATAATAAGGAAGATGCATTCAGCCTTCAGATATGTTAAGGTAGAGTCATTTATCGGGTGCTGTAGACAGAGAGCATTGTCAGGGGCCATGCGGAGAAGATTCTTGCAGACACCATGGTGGACTCCAGAGGTGTAGCAAGCGTGCACAGAAAAAAAAGCAGAGAATGGCAGCAAGTATGAAGGAGGTGGGAGCAGAAAAAAGTCAAGCTGTTAATCGCAAGTGATAAAAAAGTTGAAATGGGAGCAAATTATGAATGAGACTGTGGGAGACAGAACAATGGGCAGGTTCCAGAAGCTACAGATGCAGATGGGCGGAAAGGAGATGCTACCTCAGTTGGTGAACTATAGTAGTACAAGAAGTGTTTAGAGGTATTATTTGCACCCGGGTACTCACCAGCCACCTACTTTATCCTTAGTAAAAGATAGCGGCCATCTGACGTAACAAGTGGGAGCTAGTCCACAACTCACATCCGTATGTTGCTACAGGGAAGATGCATGCTCTCAAAATTTTAATTTTGATCTCCTTGCTGGTGCTTAACTATAGACTTTAAATGTTGTTTAATCTTTGCATTGCTATGGCCATCATTCCTTTGATTTCCATCAAACAGTCTACATTCTATTTTTTTTTAGAGCCTAGATATTCAAAGTTTGTGAGATTTTCAATTTCTTTATCAGATATTGTTATTTTTGGGTGACAGCCAGTTTTGTCTGTGGACATTATTTTCGTTTTCTTTAAGTTCAAGAAAAGATTTTGATCTTCACTGTGTTTTTGGAAGACAAGATTAAATTTTATATTCTCTTTACATTGTTCGAAAGAAGGATTGTGTCATCTGCATAACAAAGTCCCAGAATAGGGCTGCTAAAAATTATGAGCGGTTCATAACTGTCTCAAGTCTAGTCATTTTTGACATTTTTCATTACATTTTCTGCATTTTTATTGAATAAATATGGTGAGAGAACGCACCCCTGCCTCATTCCTTTTGTCTTTATTTCTACTGTCATAGTTAGAAATGTCAAGGGGTGTGTGAACAGTGCTAGCAACTTCTGTTATGTAAATAGTGAGGTGACATGTCTCTCACAAAATGAAATATAACTGAAGTGTTTAAAAAGGTATACAGTTTGTATTTTGGATGCGGAACAGCAGATCAAGATAAGAGCTGGGTGCCACACATATGCTGCAATTCATGTGCAGCAAATCCTAAACTGTGGTTGACTAGTAATTCTCCTAAGAACAAAACAGAGCTTTTGGGTTCCAGATTGCAATAGTGGAATCTTCTGGCAGCAGATGTTAGAATTTCTGTGTATAGGAACTGTATATATTTTTTTATTTTAAACAAGGTGATTTTATTGCATGCCAAAACATCTCTGGGTTAATGGCAGCCCTAGAAAATCAATTACAAACTGGAAGAATGGAGGCTTTTCATTGATTCATCCAAGATGAGTCTTAAAACTGTTTTGTTGAATAATGGTGATGTATTACCATCAATTCCAGTTGCTCACGCAGTTCACAAGAAAGAAACTTACAGAAAGAAACATTAAGCAGCTTTTGAAGTGTATAAACTACAATCATCATCACCTGTCACTTTTTGACAATTCAAAAGTGGCCGCTCTTTTGCTTGGACTACAAGGTAAATATACCAAGTACTAATGCTTTTATTGTGAATGGGATAGCCTTGCACGGCATGACTATCACATCTGAAGACATTGGCCAATCAGGTGATCATTGCAGCCTGGCAGTAAGAACGTTGAAACCCCGCACTTGTTGACACCAGAAAAATTTCTTTACCACCCTTCACATTAAGCTGGGTCTCACGAAAAACTTTGTCAGCCCCATGGAGAAAACAGAAGATGCTTTCAAACATCTCATCAGAAAATGTCCAAGACTGAGTGAAGCTAAAATTAGAAAGAGAGTCGGTCCTCAAATTCAAAAACTTTTTCAGGATAAGAAATTTCTGTGTGTGTTGTATGGTAATGAAAAAGCAGCATGGCTAGCATTTAGGTCAGTGATGGACAATTTTCTTGGAAACAACAGATCTGATAATTACAATAAGATTGTAGAAAATCTCCTTCTGAAGTATGAGAGTTTTGGCTGCAACATGTCTTTTAGAATTTATTCTCTTCATTCTTATTTGAATTTCTTTTCATCAAACTGTAGAGCTGTAAATGATAAGCATGGTGAATGATGTCATCCGGACATTGCTGCTATGGAGACAAAGTATCAAAAAGCAAGCAAACAGAGCTTAAACAGTGCCCGACTAATGACGGAAAAGGTTCACATGTTTCCTTTACAAACATTATATGTGAACTTTAAATATTCGTTTCTATTGTTGTATCATTTTATGTTGAAATATTTATTAGCTGAGTATGCAACAACAATTTTTATAAAGCTAAAATAGAAAGACTGTTCACTACAGGAATTAAAAATAGCATACATTATTTGTATTACTGTAATGTAAATTCGCCATTTAAAAACAAAAAAAAATAACTAGAGCCAATGGGTAAATTTCCTTATGATATATCAAAATCAGTCAGAAATGATGTATTTAAATTCTAGTACCAAAAAAGAAACTTCTGAAAATTTGCTGACCAGCTGTAATCAATTAAACAAGCATAAAGATCTACGTTGTATTTTCTACATTTTTCAAACATAACTCCCATTTTAAAGATGTGATCCCTGTTCCTCTACCCTGCCTGAAACCTCTGTGTGCTTCATGTAGCTCTATTATAGTTTTCTTTCGATCTTCTTCATGATAATTCATAAGAGGATTTTGCTAGCATGACTTATTAATGCAAGGGTACAGTAGTTGGAGCACAGTTTCAGATTTTCTTTCTTTGGGAGAGGGATATAGATTGTTCATTTCCACACTGTAGGCTAAATAGCGCTGTTCCAGATCTTCATGCACAATGCATGGTAGATTTAGATGCTGGCCTCTTCTTCCTGAATAAGTTCTTCTTGTAATTCTGCTGGTGACTTTCCTTTTTTTATACAACTGTTTATTGTCACATAATTTCTTTTTTTTAAACAGTATCTGTGTCAGTGACATTTTATTTAAGTGACTGTGTTTTTAGTTCATATTTTGAAGCATACTTGCATTTAAGATGAGCCAGTGTTATCTGGAGGTGGCAAATTCAGTATCCTGTATAGTCATTATAACTTTCAATTTTTAAATTATCTAGTGTATCTTCTAAGGTCTATTTCCCTTCCCACTTCATGTTAGCACTAATCAATACCTATGGACGTAAAATTATATTTGACTTCAATGACAACCCAGCCTTCCATGTGTAAAAAAAAATCAATGTTCTGGGAAGAATAAGTTCACCCAGATATTTAGGTGAATATTTATCAATGCAATAATGGCTTTAACAAGTCAAACTGTTGAACAGAGTTCAGGACATCACAGCACTCAAGATGTTTTCGTAAACACTCCACAAGTCAAACATTTACCCATCATTACTTCCTCTGAATCCCTGTTAAGTAGTGGTGGAAGAAACAGTGTTGCTGGTGACACTTGATGAGCTATATTTGGCTGTTCCCAGAATGACTTTGGCAGGGCCCGTAACTTCATTGGTAATAATTCTAGGAAAAAATACAATGAAAACAACATTTTATGAAGAAATAATACATTACTAGATAATGGATATCTTATTTTGCTTGGTGTTTTTTTAGTAAAACTATTATAAAATACACATGTTCATAACTGAAAACTAATTCCGGTCATACCAAAATACAACTCTGACATAAAAGAATTTGGAAATGGAAGGTAGTTAAGATTTGTCGATAAGCAGTCTTTTTCAATACATTTACATGCACTGGCTAGTGAAAATCTTCCTTAGATAGCTATAAATACTCCAAAATATATATGAACAAAAAATGTAAATCATTTTTGCACAAGTGAACTATAAACAAAATGACAAAGTAAACTATAAATGGAATAAAAAAAAATAAAAAAAATGATACATTGATATTGTAGGATATTTTCAGTTTCTTTGTATAATTCTGTATCAATTGTTGGTACATGTAACAAACTCGGGCCCAACACACTGTGCTGAGTAACAAAGTCAGGCTCAGTAAACTGCAACTGGACGTTCATTCATGCGTTTTAACCTTTTAGACAGGTGAGTCTAAGTCGCAAGTGTGACAGGTTGGTGCGACGTTGTATTGTGTTGACGGTCTCACCCGCGACCATGCATCATCTATATTACAGGATGTGAGAGCTTTTAACGTCCCCATAACCTGTACAACTGGTCCTAACTCTCTCCCCCCCTCCCCACCCCACACACTGAGCCTAGGGCCCACGAGAGAGTGTATTCTTTGCCCCATGGTTTCAGACTTCTTAACATGTTGCAGTGACCCACGGCTATCATATAGGCAAAAGCAACTACTAATTCTGCTTACAACTGAAAACGCAATTTCGATGGTAGCTGCTCGCAAAACAACAATTATTACAGAATGTAGAAAACTTTCTGAAGACAACAGTACACCGGGACATCCCTATAGCGTAGACCAGCCTGAGCAAGCATCATTTTCAGGTCAGCTAGTGTGTAGCTGTCCAGAGTTCATTACTTGTCTCCAAATGTTATTTAAATACTTCAGTTTTGCTGCACAGATTTTGAGGTATATTTGCATTCAACTATAAATTTTTCACATAAAGGCTAGCAGAGCTAACCCAAACATAAATCAGCAGAAGGCAAGGAGTAACATAACCATGACTGCCTGAAACTCTGGTAAATCAACATTAACTACATTTACGGAATCTTAATGGAATTATTCATTTAGTAATGTCCATCATGTATTGCTGATTATAAGAAATAATGTTAAGGATCTTTTTCATACAATAGGCACATCAGACCCATTATGGCTGATTACCATGTTTACAAACTAGGGCATTTCCTGGTCCCCATGTTGGGCCTGATCAACCACAAAGCTCTAGATCAATTACAAAGCTCTGCTGACATACAGATTCCAAACTCAGAAGTTTGGATCTGCAGGCATTTTGCTATTACAGAGAATCTTGATTATATTTAGTGACTGTCGTGACCCTCTTTAAAAAAACACTAGAAATTAAAAAATAGTAAGAAGTCAGTAAAGTTAGGGGTTACGGTCCATGGAGAAGCTAAGTTTTAAACCAACATTTATAATCAACAATGAGGACATTTAAAAAAATCATAGATTTTGAATACCACTGCTTCATAATTAGTGACAATGGACTATTCACAAGAAGTGAGAAGGAAACTTGCCATAGCAAGGTAGAGGTTTACTAATATTAAGAAATTGTGGCATTTCCTCCTCTTCTTCTCTTCTTTCAGGTACATCAAAACAAAGTGGGGTCTGGGGGGAAGGGGGAAAGGGGGGAAGATGTAAGGAGCATCTATGTGCTCTTTTTAATGCACTTTACACATTTAAACAAATAATGAGTGATTTTTTTTAAGGCCAAAACAAAAATGCCAGCTATGATCTGGTAAAATTGTAAAACCACATGGTTAGAAGATAACAAGTAATCTGCCACTTTGTTTACCTAGTGAAAGTTGTGACATTACATATGCAGCCAAAGGTCAACATTAATTGTTTCAAACTCAGAAAAGAGCTCTTGAGACAGAAAAGTGCTTTTGAGACAGCTAAATTAATTGAATAAGTTTTTTTTTTTTTTTCTTTCTCCTTGATCTGTGTTCATTATATGTCTTCAGCAAGGCTTTCTGTAGCAGTTGGTACCAAGGCTGTCTCATCAGATGGCCAAACTAACTCTTTTGTTGCACTTTAATGAACTGTATGACAGCTTTTAGCCCTAGTCTTCTTCTAATTTCTTAATGTTTGATTTTCTCTAATACTTTCCAGAACCCTGCTAGTAATCCACAGTGATTTGTCAGTTACCCCAGCACCTGATTTTTTCTGTATCCACTCTTCCATTTGAGGTAAGATGTGGTCATAGATATTTAAATTAACCTGTTTGTTTATTTTACCCCTGTGTCACATTTATTGACATGTTTTCTACCTGTCTACATATCACCACTGTTTCTGCCTTTTTAACTCTTATTTTCATGTCATATTTCTCACATTTGACTTGATTGAGATGGTTCTGAAGACTTCTCTGTTTCTGCTAATAGCACCTGGACATCTGCAAATAACAATTCCAAAATACTATCTTCTTTGCTCTTTGCTTCTCTGCATATATTTTCCATGTACGTAATGAAATGTTGTAGAGGTAGCACACATTCCTGTTGTACTCCTGAATTCACTTCAAAAAGTTTTGATGTACCTGCTTTTGTTTGTATATAACTTTTATTTGTCTTACAAACTTTTATTAGATGTTTACTAATTCAGTATCTCTTGACATTTTTTCTAGAAACAAATTTAAAGTTTTGAGGACATGCATCTTTCCTATAGCATCATATGGATATGAATCATGGACCATTTTGCAATTACTAAAATGAGAAACTTGGGGATTATGAACATAAACATTATGTAATATTTCATATAATACTGTGGGTCAAGGAAAAGAAAAATACGTTAAACTATGATATGACCACTGAAAAAACTGGCTAATAAATATGTTGCAATGCTCTTCTTCTTTGGCTCAGTATATGCAGCTTGGTCGGGCACATTGACAGATATTTCAACACAGCAAGCTTGAACATGAACAAACACTGAGAACACTGAACAGCTAGCTGATAATTTATGTTTATTGCTCCAATTAAGTTCCTCTTGATCAATGAGCCAGAAGTCTGATGTCTAGGGTAACAGCTACTCAAGAATAATCACACATACATTCCTTAGTGGACCAAAGTTATTAATTAAAGCACTTCCAACCGCTGGTTAAATAGTGTATGACTATGCTCCCAGTTATGTAAACTTTACCAATTTGTTTGTAGACTTGGACTTGTCTTTTGAACGTACAACCATATAAATTTGTCTACTTAGTACACCTATTGTAAGTGTTATTATGAGTAAATAACACATAAATTTAATCTTTTGACAACATTTTTCAGTAATTTAGTTTTCTTTAACCATATATTTTTTAAACAGATCTGTAACCTATATAAAATTATTAAAGACTGTCATCATTATTTAAGCATCTGTTGTCAGCAAACATATTTTATTAACATGTATTACAAATATCCAATCAATCTTTGACACATCTGGTACATTTTTTCGAAAATAGTTTTGTAACCTGTTCTAAATTGTCATTATTATTTAGACACTTGTTATCAATCAGTCAGTCAGTCAGTAGCTTGTCCTTTGCAGAACCATGCTCAAATAACATCTTTCAGGAAACATCTCGATCACAAGCAACATGTCCCACATCCGATACACCCATCTGGAGATCATCCGCCACATCCTACACCCATCTTTTCTTTGTCTTCCTAAGCATATACCCCTCGATTATTGTTCTCTCTAAACTTTCATGACATTTCAAGTGACCAAAATATTTCAATTTTCTGTGTTATATTATCTTTAATAGCCAATCTTCTTCAGTATTCAGTTCTTGAAGTATGGATGCATTTGTTCTTTTCTTTACCCATAATATTCTTAGAACCCCTCTATAACATTTTTATTCAAAGGCATTTATGCCTTCTTCAGCTTGTTTAGAAGTTGTCCAGGTCTCACAGGCATATGTTGCAATGGAAAAGATCGTTTTTTATCAGCAAACATTTTTTATAAACATGTAATACAAATATTGAATCAATCTCTGACACATTTAGTATATTTTACTGCATCTTTAGATAAAGGTATCTGCCAACAAATTTTGGATTAATCAAGTTTTGAAAAATATCTGGAGTTGATGGTTCTTGAATAATTTCATCAGATAATGGTATGGGTTCCATTCAAGGTTGATAATTTGATTCAATTTTCTATAGTCGACACAACAGAGTCGCAACGAGTTTTAAATTTTTCACAATTACTAATGGTTCCGCATGAATTAAATTAAAACACTTTTTGATGATGGATCACTTATCTGTGCATTTTGTAATTCTGATAGATTTAAATGTTTTCTTGCTTTAGCTTTTCTTATGTGGTGCTATTCATGCTTCTCGTTACTGCAGAAGTGGTATGGTAAGTTATTTGATCTTTAATTAATTCAAATGACTGTGATGAAGGTTGCTCACACATTAAGTCTTCATTACTTCTCACTTCGATTACCACTTTTCACTCTTACTCACATTCTTTCTATCCATCGCAATCGACAAATCATTCTGTACTAATTCAACTGATGTTACATTTTAGTTACACACTGCTAAAGGTTTCATTTCTAAAAAGGAAGCATATAAGAAATGGATTAAATGCAAGTGTGAACAAGATTATTTTACACATAGATTATTAAGAAGAGATGCAAAATAAAAGATCAGAGATCTACAGATGAATCATGGAGAAAGTTAGGAGAGCAGATGGCCACACTTAGAAGAAGTTCCCCTAGAGAATTTTACAAGCAGGTAAAATACAAGACAGCAAGAAATGAATGCCACAGTACAACCACCATTATAAACAAAAAGAGAGGCAGTCCTGTATTTAATTTAAATCAAAGGCTAACAAGATGGGCAGAATATTTTAAAGAGCTACTTAACCCTGAAAACGAAGTAGATAACAACAGTTTTGTGCCTAAAAGCAATGACCAACATTAACCAAACTTTTTAACATCAGAAGTAAATACAGAAGAGCCCTAAAAACAAAGCGCCTGGTTTAGATGGAATAACTACAGAAGCTATTCAAACATGTGTTTAAACTGGCATGAAATGGCTAACAAGAATTTTCAATACAGCATGAGAAAAAAGGAAAGTTCCACTAGACTGGCAGGAGGCATTGATAAAACCTATATGGAAAAAAAGAAAGGAAATACAAGAGACAGTGCATCATACAGAGGTATATCACTCTTGAGCCACATAAGAAACATTTATGCAAAGTTATCAGAACAGAGAGTTAGACCTATAATGGAACAGCACCAAAGTACATCACAATTTGGTTTCAGGGAAGGAAAATGTTGCACAGATGCATGTTTTACATTGTGACAAGTTTGCGAGAAAACCACTGAATATGCATTGCATATAACGATGAGCTGAACATTGTGTTTGTAGATCAAGATAAAGCTTTTGATAGAGTAGACATAAACAAACTATGTCTATTCTAGAGAATTATGAATAAAGGGCAACTGCTAGCTAACATCATGGCCATGTAACACACTTCCCAAAGCGCAGAGAGAACACAAAAAGGCATGTCTGATATGTTTACAATCAATACAGGGGTGAGGCAGGGAAGTGTGCTCTCTCCTCTCTTATTTACTATATATATAGATGGAATTTCAAAAGAAGCCAGCTTAAAATCAGGAAAATTAGGAACTTTACTTTCCAGAGGAAGAATTAGATCCACACACAATAAATGAACTACTATTTGCAGATGATCAGTGTCTGTTCTACAATGAAGGGAGAAGGCTACAAGAACATTTGAGCAGCTTTCAACATAATGAAGATATAGGTTAGTTGCGTATCCTTTACAGGACATTGCAGAACCAACCCCAACAGCTCCCGGATGTTGAGTGGTTTCCAGGCAAATTTACGTCCAGTCAGCTTTCTTGATACCACAGTCGAAACCAACTCAAGGCGCATGGCCCGCAGCTGGGATCGAACCCGGCATCCCAGCATTACGAAGCGTTCGCATCAACTTAGCCACAGAGCCGACAATTAGGATGTAACATGCAATAAATACTACTAAAACTTAAGTAATGAAGCTCAGCAGAATTATTAGTCAGCTACATATCGGGCTGAATCGTACTTGTCTGAAGCATAGTTAAAGAATTTAAATATCTAGGAAATATATAAGAGCTATAGAAGTAAAGAGGTTTTGAAAGAGACGGGAGCCCGAAGACAACTTATCACAGACATCAGAAGGAGACGGTCATCATTTTTCGGCCATGTTATGAGAAGAGGGAAAATAGAACATTTTGTGACCACTGGAAAGATATGTGGAAGGAGAGATGGAGGTAGACAACAAGAGAAGATGCTTGACAGTCTTGTTGCATGGCATGGAGGTGTGTCGGCACACGAACTGATACATGCTGCAGATCGCATATTATGGAGAGGCAAGGCACCTGATGATGATGATGATGATGATGATGATGATGATGATGAGGAAGTATATTCTTGGAGGATGGGAGAACAGATTGGGAAATAGAAACAAGATGCCAACTAGCCAGTGGACTTACATACCAACTGACACGTTTATTAAGACATCCAAACATAAGTATGATTCCCAAAAATACAGATTACAAACAGCATATTCATACCAAAACTGTGCTACCAGTGACAGAATTAGATATTATCAAAGGCTAACCTACATAAAATTAATATCTAAGAAATAAGATGCCCGAGAAAAGCCGCCAACATAACCATCCAAGACAAAGTTAGAAATGATATTATCAGACAGACTGTAGGAACTACACCACGCAGCAAATTATCAGACAGACTGTAGGAACTACACCACGCAGCAAATTCATTGGAAAATAGAAGATCAAATAGTTTGGTCATTTAGTAAGAATGCAGCCAGAACAACTACCAAAGCAGGTGCAACACACTAAAATATCTGAAGTGAAAACAACAGGGCGCCCTAAGAAAAATGGTTTGATGACATTAAAGAGCTTCTACACTGACACGGAATGACAACAGTCATTGCTGCCCATCAAGCAATGGATTGCAAAGTGTTACTCCCCACAAAGCTTAGTGGCCAAAGTGGAAATTGATGATGATGATGATGACTGTCCTGTCTTTCATCTTTTGTGCAATCTTTCATGTTAATATTCATATCTTTCTCACACACTGGATTTCTAATGTCTTTGGGACTTTCAGTTTCATTCTCATTCATTTCTTGACCACTTGATATTGCCACATCATCATTAGCTTTCTCACAAAATAAATTCTTTGTTGTTGACAATCATATTTCACTTTTCTTACATCCAGTAATGTCTACTTTCTCCCACTGCACAATATTTTACCCAGAAACATCTCTCAGATCTGTTCTATTACCTGAATATCTGCATTCAGCTGGAAGCACTGCAACCTGTATTCTCTTTTAAAGAATTTGTGTTTTTAGGTCAACAAATGCAACTTTAAATTTTTCTATAGCACTTTCCCTCTGTAACTGAAGAGCAAAATAGTAAAGTAATAACAGAGAGTACTTTCACTTTGTGACTTCTTCTTCTTCAGCAATCTCTGGTCATGCACATAATCCACTGTGAGCCATAAACTGGGATGTCTTTTCAAGTTCTCTTAGGTTTCCCCAAAGCTTAGTTGTCAGTTCTACTAGGTGTTGCCATATGTTGCTCCGCAGCTCCGCCAAGAGAGGACAGTCTTGCAGGACATGTTCTAGAGTCTGTTCAGCACGAAGACATTGGCAGAGAGCTCATACCTAATTTATATGAGTGTTTATTGAGTCTGCAGTGTCCAGTATGTAAGCCAAAAACTGTGACTTGGTCTGTTCTGTTCAGGTGTTTCAGAAAATCTTTTCGTAGTTATAACCAGTGTTGGTTTTCCAATCTGTTTCTGATTTTCTCTTAATGAGAGTTTTGACTTCTGGAAAAACTCTGTGACTGAAGTCAGTGTAGTAAAGTTAGAGTTACTTTCACTAATAAAGATTAGGATAGAGCAATTCAATTAAGCACCATAAGGAAACTGAATTAGAGGAAGTCAGAAAAAAGACCTTGATAGCTACAGTATGTTTAAACGATGAAATAAATTATCAGAAATGAATATGTAGATTCCACAGGTTCTGACAGCAGAATTGTACATTAAAATTATTTGTGTACATTTTGAATCAAGATCAGAGTAAAAAATTAATACCAATACATGTAACCAATATTTTACTAAGAATTGTATATATTTGTTACCGACAATAAATATAGTCGATGAACAATTGTATCTAATCCACGCCAAATCCAAAGTTAACAACTCACCATAATGTTCAATAAGTGAACAAGTTTCTCTTTCAACTTAGCTCACTGTTTAACACTTTTAGTCCCAAGAAACGAATCATACATTCATATGTTCTTACCTAAAAACCAATGAATACAAGATGCGCCAATTTAACATCTCTCTTTATTACCCTTTAGGTCTCTGATACTAAACACCCTGGGACTGAAAGAGTTAATTTATAATAAAGTATTTTTTTATTTAATTTCCAATGACTCATTGTTAAACCAGATAAAACTGGAAAATTTATTACTTTAGTCTATATTAGGAATCTTAATGATTTCCTAATGTTTAAAGTGACTCTCTAATAGTTTTTTTCAACTATTTAATAACAAAGTTGTGACTGCAATAAATATATATTTCCCAGTCTCCCAAAGTAAAAAAATCAATTCAAATTTTAAAATCAAATAATCAAATTGTCACTTTTAGTTTGCTATCCTAAAACTGTCGTCAGATTTGAAAAGACAAATATGGGATACTGATCAATCATTATCATGTGCTCTGCCAACTGGCGTAGGTGCTCATATGTCTCCACAGATCACGATCCATAGCTGCCTGGAACAGCTCTCTTGATGATACTCCTCTATGCCATCATTTCCGTCCATCCAGCAACATCTCTCTTGGTCTGCCTCTACCCCTCTTTCCACTGATTTTTCTAGTTGATCAACCAAAACTGACTAAATTTAATAGCAAGTGCTTGATGTACAATACTTCACCAATTTTTCAAAAAATAAATCACTGACACTCAATGTATATGACATGTACTTGGTGCACAATAATTCAGCAGTCTTTCAGTAAATAAATCAGTGACACTCAATGAATATTACTTGTAGATTGGAATACTCAAGTTCTGTTACTTCTGCTATTAGTTGGTGATGATTGCTGATAAATTATTAATTGCTTTTGTAAATATATTTCACAGACTGTCTGAATTGTCACTTTGAAATGCCTTGATTTGTTACAGCAATGTTATTCAGAACTTTGGAATGACTCTGGACTGATTGAATTGTTTCTGCAAAGTTCTTGACTAGTTGAATAAGTGTTTGCAGCCAATATAAGTAACATTACTGATGTAATGTATAATAACTGGTTATATTTTCATATCTACACTAGAACAATATATGAAATATATTCTTAAATTGATGGTAGCACTGTCAGGACAAATGCTTTTAATATTCACTCAAATATACAGTCGACTACTAGAGTTCAATCTTGCTCAACTCTAATGTGACTTGAACTCAACTCAGTGTTCTGCTGATATAGAACATTTTCACACCTCAGTCAGATTCAACACATTATCCAGTGTTATAATTGTGTTTGTTGTCCTAAATTTTGATGCAGATCTAGCCTTTATAAGGATCTTGTGTTACCCTTTGTAGATTACCCACTGCATATTACAACTCTGACTGTCAACAACAATTTTCTAACATTCAATAGATGATCGTAGATCAAAGCTTCAGAAGTGCTGTAAACATAAAGTTTCCAAGTCTTACAATGTGGCTTACTATAGACTTGCTGTTGCATTCCTCTGCTGTGTAGCTGCCAGTTTCTACCACTATTATTCATGGTCCTCCTCTACGTTTGTGTTGCTGATTTCTCAATATTAAATTGTGGACTTTCGTCCGCTTGGTTCTTTTAGCCTCGGGATCTTTTCTCTTTTCGCTAGGATAAAGCTCTCTTTAATGTAATGCTTGAGGTCTCTGGATTTTTCTGCTAGAATGAGCTCCATTACTACAATGCTCCCCTTCTTGAGCTCAGTGCCTCCTGCCTGGTCGGGCACACTGACAGATAATTAAACAAAGCAAGCTTGAACATGAACAAGTGTTGAGAACACCACCAGCTGATAATCATTGTTTATTGCTCCAACAATATTCCTCTAGGTCAATGAGCCAGAAGTTTTATATGGGTGATGATCAACCCTACTAAGACCACAAAATAAGCGATAAACACCCGGTGACACAAAATGCCATCTGGATGATAATCGCCCGGATACATCCAAGAAACCCCGTTCAACCATTAGATTATATTAGGGCCCTTTACATTAGTTGGGGTGGGGCTATAAACAATGAAAAATTGCATTCCCATATTAGGACAGTATTTAAAAACAGAACTGACACTCAACTCCACCAGGAACACAAAATAAGCGATAAATATCCATTAACACAAAGTGCCACCATTAGGATAAGAATCATCAGGGTGCAAGTCCCAGAAACCCAGTTGAATAGTTAGGTTACATTAGGGACTCTGATTGACGTTAGGCCATACTTATGGCCCGGCTATATTAAGGACCCCGGGTAAAAGCCAGGGTGGGGCTTCAAATAATTAAAAATTGCATCCTACATGACTGACTTTCTACCCCACCAGGACATCACACAAGCGATAAACACCCGATGACACAAAGTGCCACCACGCGGATGAGGATCACCGTGGAGAGGTCCCAGAAACCGCGTTCAGACAATTGGCCATACTGATGGCCTGCCTATATTGCGGCCCCTGGCAAAAGCCAGAGTGGGGCTTCAAATAAGAAAAAACTATGTCCTGAAAAGGACGTAAGTAAGGAATCAAAATTAATCATCCTACATGGGGACATCTATGATCTGAGCATGTATACTATAAAACACAAAATGCCTAATGTAGGTATGTTTCTACATCTTCAGTTAATAAATACTCCTCCCAGACAGTAAACAGTAGATGGTTCACATTTTTCTGTATCATTTTGGATGCGATTTCAAATTTAAGAGCGAATTTGCAGCAAATGTTTAAACACATTTCTTTTAATAAGGAATTTAATCACTAAAAGGAAACTTTCGCTGGAGTTACCTCCTTTTGAAAATCTTGTCTCTTGCATCCTCTAAAAAAACTAATTTAAAAAACAAAAAAATTATATTTCTATGTTATCTCCCTTCATATTTTAAGTCTTGGAGGAGTTTTGCAGTTAGTTAGTTAGTTAGTTGGGTTATCATCATTGCACTCCGGACATGTCCATAGGTGCTCAGATCCTCCCCTCAGTATGAACCCCAACGTCCGATGGCTAATAGTACCAGTTCTATGTTGATTAACGTCTTCTGACGTGTCCGGTGTGCGTCTCGTTTTTTGCTGTGCCGATCTTAATTCCCAAGTCTGCCATTCTGGCGAGTGATGTGGATTCCCTGCCACCAAAGTCCTCTATCCTTCCCATTTCTCTGAGGGCATTGATAATATCAGCATGATCCATAGGCCGACCGTCGGTAGTGATAGCGGATCCAGCCAACCTGTCAGCTCTTTCATTTCCATCGACGCCTGCGTGTCCCGGAACAAAAATAAAGGTGACTCCTCGCACAGTGGACTTCTGAATTGATTCAAGCCATTGGCTTCGCACTGAACCTGCCTGAACCCTCCGGATCATACTCATTGAATCACTGAGTATACATATGCGGGTGTATTTTTGTGTTTCAAGCCAGGCAAACGCTTGCGTCACTGCCATCACCTCCATCGTCATGCTGCTGGTTGTCATGGAGAAGGCACCGTTGGCTTCTTTGACTGTTCTGCCCGCCGAGCGTGCTGTAAATGCCCATGCGCTTCTTCTTTGGCGTATAACGGATCCGTCTGTATAGATTAGTGCATCTGCTTCGTCTGAATTTTCACCGATGAGAGCGTTGACCTCTGCATTAACAGCAACAGGATTCTCTTCTCTACATCGCCTGTTGAGTGTGACAATACAGGAAAATGTACAAATAAATGCCTGAGGCACAGGTATCCATTCTTCACCAGGTATGATGTCGGTTAGGCTGCATATTTGCCTAATAACATCTTCTGCCCGACCTAGCCACGATTTTCCCCTCTTCAGTCTGTCGCCCTTTTCACTAAAAAGCGCTTGATGCAGTGGGTGTTTCTTATCAGCACATATTTTGAGGTATGCCCGAGCCCTCCACATCCTGATCCTTTGGTTCATTGTTGGGAAGTCTAGTAGATACCTCATTGCTCCACAGGATGTGTCTTTTGTACATCCCAAAATAATACGCATGGCTTCATTTTGCACCTTTTCGAGTCGTTCAATCTGGGTAGCACTGACAGTGAGGATGGCCAGAGCGTATTCAATGGGGGAAAGGACCAGACCGTAGAACAGAAGTACTAGTAGTCTTTGCTCGATATTGGAAGCAGCCATGATCCTCATTGCAGATAGACCTTTGCGTGCTTTTGTTATTACATGGTCAACGTGTTCCCGAAATGACAAGCTGCGATCGAACCTCACCCCGAGAAACGTCAGAACGTTGGTTCTGATCAATACATTATCACGCATTTTCACTTCTGGTAAGTCCGACTTGACAATGTGATTATTCAAAGAGAACCATGACACTGATGCCTTCGAAGGATTGACATAGGCATTGGAACCATCACACCAGGCGGCAATTCGATCGAGTTCTTTGTGCATTGTGCTGGCGATCTCCTGTCTATCACGCCCTCGTCGATAAATCAAAATGTCATCAGCAAATGACAAAGTCCTTCCCTTTCCATTCAACTGCTGCTCAGTGATCATCACCGTATAAACGTTGAATAATACTGGTGATAGCGGTGATCCCTGTGGCAAGCCTGGACATATCGTTTGCGGTTCTGAGGACCAGCTACCACATCTTAGTACAATCTTTCTCCGGAACAGGACCGCAGCAATCCAGCGGATCAGAATAGGATTGACTTCTAGTTTAAGCAGTAATTGCATTAAATAATGATATGGTACTTTATTGTAGGCATCTTCTAAGTCTAACACTGCCACACATGTCTCTTCTTTAATCTGAAATCCCTCGTACACATCGTAGGCGAAAACAGCAGCATTGAACCATGTCTCTTTCTTCAGCCTGTATCCTCCAAGTGTTGATGGGAACTTATCATGTAGTTCCAAGTAGGTGGTCAATCTTTGTGCGACAATTTTTTCCAAAAGTTTGCCAACAGTATTCTGCAACGAGATGATTCTGTAGCCGCAGATCTTTGAGTGGTCTTTATTAGGCTTTGGTAGTGGGAACAAATAACTATGGAGCCATTCCTCTTGTATCTGGCCAATCTGGATGCTGATATTGAATTCCTTTGCCACGCTTTTCAAATCAGCATTCGACATCATCAGCATGTCATTGTATCGGATGCCGTCAGGGCCTGGAGCAGTGCTGCGTGATTTCTTGAGGCAAGTTCTTAAGGTATCTGCAGTGATTGTGAAATCAGTGCCTAGCTCAGTGTTCTCGCACAGCATCGACAGTTTCATCTTAACCCCTATTCTTGCAGCTTCGTCTTTTTGGTCAGTTTGCTCCAAGTAGCGCGCAAGAAGGGTTTTTCCTTTATCAGCATCAGTTCTCTGCCATATTATCAGGGATACCCCTTGGTCGTGCGGCGCCGTGCATGCTCCGTTGAAGGCGCCAGAATGTCACAAGAGATCCCTCGGAGCAAACGCTCTTGCAGAATTCGTTCCATTTCGCTGTCTTGGCTTCTTTCGCAATTAACTTGAAAGCCACTGTCCGCTTGGTGACCTCATCTTTCAGACTGATCAGGCGTTCAGAAAGTGACGGATCAATTTTCCTTGCCTTTTGCCATGCCTTGACAGTGTTCCTTTTTTCTAGCCACACCATGTTGACTACTTCATTCCACCATGGTGGCTGGGCCCATCTCTCCCGCCGTCTGCGATCTGCTCTTGTTTTACGTCGTCTGATTTTGCTAATGGCATCTTGCCCTGTACGATCATATATAAAAGCAGGCACATTGGTTACTTGACCTTTGTTGTTACTCTTCTCCACCAGGACTACGCAAGGAAAGTGATCACTGTCATGGTATCCCAGTGTGCTCCACCTGCATCCTGATGCAATGGAGGGGGACACTAGGGCCAGGTCAATTACGCTGTCAGAATCCCCTTGTCGGGTTGCCATTTGGGTAACCTTTCCGTCGTTCAAGCATACTAGATCGGCAGA